AGCCACATATAGTACAGTCAAACATGCTAATACTCTCATACGTCGCGCTCAACAATACTCATATGAAATAGTGATACCAGGAATTGATCTTTCTCGCGCTGTCGTGATTGCCATTAGTGATGCAAGTCCAGGCAAAATGCCCAGGCAAGGCTCTCAGGGTGGGATGTTTCTTATGATGTCCACTCCTGAAATCACTGAACGGAGTGTTCCAGCTGCGTGCTTGTTCTGGCTGTCGCATCGCTTGAAACGAGTTGCTCGCTCCTCTATGGCCACGGAATCAATGGCTCTATGTGAAGCCACCGAGCACGCTGAGTTTTTGCGTGCTTGTTTGTTTTTGTGAAATGACAGATGTCGAATTTGACTTCAGACAGTGGGAAAGGAGTACACTTAAAGTGCCACTCATTGCTGCCACTGATTGCAGAAGCGTTTTCGATCATATCTCAGCAGAACGTGGTTTGCCCCGCGACAGAATCTTAGCTCTTGACCTTGCTTCCTTGCGTGCTACTTTTGAGAGTCAGCTTCGGGAAGGCGCTGAGGGACGCAATGCTTCGCTACGTTGGCTCCCAGGTCCCCGCAACCTTGCGGATGGCCTGACAAAGTATGTAGTAGCCATACAGTCGCTCATCATCAGTGTCCTCAATAGTGGACAATACTCGTTGGCGGATGAGAGTACCCTTTTGAAACGAGCTCAATCCCAAAAGGTCAAGATGAAGAAGAATTTCAGTGGCAATGATGTGTTGCTTTGTAAGACCCTTTTCTCGTGGCAGTGAACTGTCCATGACCAAAATAATTTTGGGGAGTGTTGAAAATGACACCCTTGGTCATGTACTGTCGCTTCTCGATCTCGAAGGGAGGAGCGGGTGGGCCGTACAGTGCAGTCGTGGATGAAAGGTGCTAGTCCTGTCGAGGTTCGTTTTGGGGCGTCGGTCCCCAGTATTCTCAACATATTTTAGGATAAGGTGTCTGCATAGAAATGCCAAGCATCAACAGAGTTGAAAAGGGATGAAACTCTACTGTGAGCACACGAGCACATGATGGGTTGAGGCGCCTTTTGGCGTGCTGATGACGAGCAATAAACACACCCTGCATTTGAGTGCTCGAAAAATGAAGCGGTGTGCGTCTGAATTATAGGTATGAGGGTAGTAGCATGTATATTTGCAAGAATACGCTGGAAAGCTGCCCGGAATCAAATGAGCATCTTCCAGAACAGAATCAAGCTCCAAACCGTTCAATCAAACAACAACAGATTCATCACCTCCAGGAATCGAACCTAAAAACCAACTGACCAAGAACATTAACACCGCGGTTGTGCCTGCAGAACCTCGTTGCCTTTGTGCAAACAGAACCTGAAAAAGCCTTCCCAAAGGCATGCTTAAAAGACTGATCAAAGAGCTCGCCAGCTCGGCAAGTGCCAGCTGAGCCATTCTGTCGCCCTCAACCTCGGGACCCAGTCCAGCCCAGCAAAAAATCAATGAGCAAATGTCATGCAATAATTGGAGAAGATGAAAATTCTTGTAAAATGCGCTGAAGAGCCAAGATCGTGTTGCAATGCTCAGGCAAACTTTTACTTTAGAAGGAGACGTGCCTCTCCAGCGTAGGACTCCACCTTAGCTACATCCAAAGCAACTTGACAGAATGGCAGCAGAGCAGCATACACTCCAAGCAAAAGACAGCAAAAGTATGCACCAGGAGCCCAACCGTTCCCTTGCTAACCTCCGTATCCGCCTGGTTTCAAAACTGTGGAAAGAGGAAGCTATCCTAAGAATCTCTTGCCAAACCTTCGCGATATCCTGAGATATCTACGCCCATGATTTCATGCTCACTTCGCCCCGCCTGTCGTGATCTTGGTGGGGCCGGGATCGGAATCTCCAAATCCTCACCCGGCAGTGCACCTTCAGGCACGGTTACGACAATCTCCTGACAGGACAGCTGGCAGAAGCAGTGAAAGAGAAAAGTTGACTGCTCTAGGATGAGTCTTCAGGTAAGCAGCGAATAGAACACTTAGTAAAGACTTCACCCTCAAGCTCCAGTGGTTCCACATTCATTTCTGAAAAGGCTCTGAGTCAAAGAGCCTTGCAATCGGCCTTTTCTGTTGCTGTCCTGTCCAGTACTCGTGGTGATGGTGAGTTCATCTCCCGGTCGAGCACCCTCGGGGATCGTCACCAGCATCGTCTCTTCCTCCTCGGATCGCGTCTCTCCCACCGGGATCTCCGGAGATGGCCGGACGGTGTGACGGCCGGAGACGGCCCATCGGCGGACTGGGAAGCTGGCGACTTGTCCTCGGCCACCTTCGAGCCTCAAGTTCCATTTCTCGCTGCATTGATCAAATCCAATCCGGATTGATCAAATTGACACTCAAATCGACACTCCAAGTGACAAGAGAGGTGTTTGACTTGGAACTTGGATAGCAACTACTTAGTCAACAAGAGAAGAGCTGCTACAAAGAACTTTCTGAGCAAAGGGCTGTAAAGAATCAACCTTGAGACGCTTGGGAAGCACAAAATCAACCGTTGAACATGCTTGTCTAGCAGCCTGGCACTGCTTGCTCCTTCACTAGAAACAGCTGGAGCATGCTGCAGCGCAGCTTCGGAGTTCGTTTACGCTCGCTCCCTCCCTGCGCCAAGAAGAAGAATGTAGTCAGTCCAAGAAGAGTCTTGACTCCTGGTTCGGGTCCATGAACTAAATGAGATTCTGGAAAGGCGGGTGGCATATACCAGGATTATACATACATATATGTATATATGTATATATATATATATCTCTTCCATACAACTACGTTTTTCCAGGCACTTGGCCTCAAGATATGAAAAACCTAGGGAAGCCTGAAAAACTAAGCCTGAAACAGCACCTGGGTTGGTCGCCCGCAAACGCTCCATTTCTCGCAGGTACTCCTCCATTGGCCTCACAGTGAAACAATCTGAAGCCCCACACAGAGCCACACAGTCTCTTTGTCATGAACAATAAGAAACCAGCAAGTGGCCGAGTTTTGCTGTGCGCATTGCCGGAACAGCTGGAGTTTCGGCTTGACAATCAATGTGATAGTGTGGTGCTCTATGATGACACAATGCTCCCAACCACGGCTGATGGCAAATGAAAATGCCAGAAAGTGCGGCGGGAAGTAGCACGGCAAACGCTAAATCTGAGCAACCAGTACCATCGATACGCTCGCACTGCGCCCATGCTTGTCTGTCTTGTCTTGCTGTGACTGTCTGTTCTCTCCTTCGTCATCACTTTTCAGCCACATCATCACTAAGCCAGCAAGTAAATTACAAACATCATTTGAAGAGAGTCGCTCCAGTCAACTTCAGCCACATTCCAGGGGTAGCTGTAAACAGTCATGACCTGCCAAGTAGCAAACCCTGGTTGCTAGTATGACCAAGTAGTGGTTCTGGTGACAAAAGCTTTCCATGTCCATGGAAAGGACACTCCGAAGTTGAAGTAGCTGAACACTGAACACGATAAAAACAGCGAAAGTTCACTATCCTGGGAGTCACATCTGGTTCTCTTTCAGCCCTCTTTATATTCTTGGTCCAATTCAGGAGGCAAGCAGTTTCAAAAAAAACTGCAAATCTCAGGCCGCAACGCTGTGTAGTTCAGAGGAAAAAAGCCTTTGCTATCCGGCGCTCCAACCAAATGGCCATATACCTCACTCCAGCTTCAAATATCTTGGCATACAACTAGCCCAAACCTACTTTCGAACTGCTTGGGTTTGGATCACCCGTTTTTTGTACAAACTGTTGGTCAGCTTCAGCATCTCCAGCTGCGCACCCATCCAGTCCCTCCGTCGTGCAGCACTTCAACCACATTGCCAACCTTCAGCGGCAGCGGAGACTGGTTCCTCGGTGCGGCAACGTCTCCCTTTATGTCAAATGTGACAGCAAAAGGACATATTTCATTATTTTCGGCGATTCGACTGGACCAATTTTGCGGTACACAGTACGGGATACAGTATATACAAGATTCCTCAATTATTTGAGCTGACATGTGATGAAGAAATATGAAATAGTGCTTCCCAAGGAGCGGGAACTGCCAGTCGATGACCTGCACAGTCCAAGCATGCACTGGTTTGCTCTCTGGACAAGTCAGAATGCATTTGACGAAATCCAATGCGACCGGAAAATCTCCTTCAGATTCCTCCAACAAACCAGCTATCTATCTATATAAATAGAAGCGATTGAACTCGGTTTCACCATCGTGGCCCCCTTGAGCTCCCAACAGAAGGATCGAAATCATAGAGCGCCACGTACCTTCGACCTACTCCATCTTGCGGCCTGAACAACACTCATATGATAGAGGTGCAAGTGATCGCATATGCAATGCAAAGGGCTTAAAACACCCAAGATTTTCACAAATTTCCTCTTGCAACTGCGCAAAGGCCAAAGGTCAGTATGAAAACTTCTCAGACGCAGGCGCATCTGCCCTGCCACCAATGAGCGGAGACCGAGACAGTACAAAACAAAACCCCACACCAGCTCCAAAGAAACATCCTTTTCAAGCCAAGGCACATCTCCAAAAAGACCTTTGCAAAAATTATCAAGAACTAAACACATTGACCAAAGAATTCAAAGCTGCTGGATTTGGCGAAGAGACTGAAACAAAAGCGACTGTTGGTTCCAGCTCGAACCAGCAGTATAAATCTGCAAAACGGCCGCACATGAAAAGGTCGCATACCTTCTCACACTGTTGATGCTAAGGGCAGCTCCTCAGGTCACGCAAAACATGTGGCGTTCGCTTCACCTCAGCCACTCAGCAAAACCCATCGTCAATGTGCCTCTGCATCGGTGTGTTTGTTCTTCTGGTCCTAGGTTAGTCATGCCACAAGCCTGGTCAATAAGGTTTCAACCTTGGAGCTTCACAATGACCCCGAAGACTCGGCCCTCTTGAGCAAAAGTGCCCTCAAACTCGACCATTGAACAGCAAATCATGCCATCACTCCAAAAGACCGAAGTCCCAATTGTGAAATGCCTCTGTGCAGTGCCATGGCTGTTGCTATGTTTTTTCCTCACGCCATGCTCAAAAGCTGAATCTCATGCAAGGCTGCTTGGCTCTTACAGCCAAACAGGACATATTGTTCAGCGCCTGTCCATACTCTCCTACAAGTGGTAAAAGGGCACGACGATCAGATTCGAGGAAGCTCTCAAGTCCGAGAGGTGCTTGGCAGCTGATAATTTATAATTTGTAACGTTGAAAAGCTAAGCTTGTCAGGTCCTTGGCGCCAACGTTTGCTTCGAGGCTCAGGAGCAATTTCTGCGAAACATTCTTTTTCACTCGGGCCTAAAAATCAGCATGTACACTTCTCGATTTGTGCACCTTGGGTGTCATGCTGGAACATGGTGAGATTCTGACAACAGTTTTCATTGAAATGAATCACTCTCCCCCTTTGGGAGACACGGTAGTTCAGAGACTGCCCCATCAGCTTCTGAGCATGTCCCTCTAAAATCTGCAGCTGCTGAAATCTGCAGTTCCTTTCTTCTCGAGCTTGGTTGAATTCCTCCTGCAATTCCTCTATGTAAAGGTCCAGCTGGAAAAGTTTGTCTTGCATCTTGATGGACTCTTGCTCATAGACCCCTAGGGCCTTCAAGTCGATCCAACAGCCAGCTTGAATTTCCACGCTGGCCACTTCCACCTTCTGGTAGGTGTTGTCTTCCGGAATCTTGGTCCTCATGACCTCCACGATGTAGCCCAAGAAGAACTGCTTGATGCAGTGCCATAGCCACCTGGAAATGCTCAAGGCCCCAAGCAAAGCGCAGATCACGAAAATCGTCCATGACCAATCACTGGTCTTTGCTCTCTCTTCTCCTGTAGGCTCTCCAGCTGCTTGGTAAAGGCTTGACAGCAGCATGATCATGCCCTCGTTCAAGTTCTTGCCCTTGAGAATTTTTTTGGTTCCTTTCTTCATTTGCTCTCGATGTTCAAGCGCACGATACCCCTCCGCTGCAATTCTGCCGTGGACGCAGTTCACCATCTTCAGCATGTAGAGCAACCCAAACAGTTTTCTCCTGTGGTGCCGATATCTGCACTGTTCAACTCAGTTGGGATCGCCCCCACTGTCAACACCTTTTCCTTCTCCTCTTGCTGAACCCACAGGAGGGCTGCGTCAAGATGGCGAACTCTTCCAACCCCTTGGCGTTGCACCATTGCCCATGCTGCCGAGCTGTCCCATCTGACCTTCATGTGGCAGTCTTCTCCAACATCTGCGTCCATAGGCCATAGGTGGCGAATCAAAGGCCATCTGAGCATTCAGCCACCATTGCCACAAATTCAAACTCTCCCGAGAACAGGTGGAGGGATTTCTTAGCCATCAGGTTTGATCACCTCACCGCAAGGCCCGATGGCAGCTCCTCTGATCAAGGCATATCTCACACTGTCATTGTCTCCAAACCATGTGGTCAGGTTTCCGGGCCAGAAGGTCGCCCCAGTAAGAAAGGGCATGTACTGCAGCCACCAATTCAAGCTCATAAATAATGGCCTGTTTTGTTTGGCAACCGAACGCTTTGCACTTTTCTTCATTGAGGGGAAAACCAAACCATTGTACACAAGCTCCCGATTGGTCGACCAGGACACCACCTATACCACCAGTTTGTTCTTCCATGTTGTATGCAGCATCTGTGTAGACGAACCACTGCAGGAAATCCTGGTCTGAGATCTGAACGGGGCGCCCAGCTTCGAGCCTAGTCTTCATGGCCAGAAGAGCATGTTTGGTGCTCTCGTCCAAAGTCCTCTGGCGCGAGTAGGCATGCTCAAGCAGCTTTTTCAGGAGTATCTTCCCAAGTCTGCCATGTAGGAAACTGTCAGCGAAGCTCAAGCGTCCCTTCAAGACGAGTGTCTCATGTTTTGACAGCTTTCCATCGAGCAAAACCTCGGAAATCCTAGAAACAAGATCAAGCCTTCTCTGTTCGGTGTTGTAGATTTGAACAATCCTTTGCTCTGATCTGCTCAAATTAAATTCCACTCCAAGTGCCTTGCAGGTGGTCTCGAAGAGCGTTGCCTTCTTCCCTTCGCGAGCAAACTCCCAACCGGTTAGCAAGAACAAAACCTCCATGGCTAAGTTTGCTGACTTGCAACTCTCAGGTTTGGATAACAGCACGAAGTCATCGTAGAAGTTCGCGTTGAGTACATACAAACCTCTGGCAGCAATACTGTGAATGAGTCTTGTCAATCGAAGGAAGGAATAAACCGAGTGCGTGGCCCCGAAAGGCAGGGTTAGCAGCTGGTAGATCTCGGGTTTCCCTTCTTCGCAGTTATAGATGCTGAAAAAGACATACTTTAGGTGCTGGCTCTGTATGGGCACCTGTCTGTAGGCGCTCTTGAGATCAAAGGTCTTGGCCAGAAGCCAGCTGTCGCGCTCCTTTGCACTACAAGTTTGAAAATATCTTCGAATGACCGCTCCCAGCGTATCGATCATGTGCAAGTCAATCTTGGAATGAATCGTGCACGAGTCATTGATGCCACTGATGGAGAAGTCATCAATCATTCGGACTTTGTTTGATTGCACAAGCGGGGACCTGCGAGAAATGACTGCCCCTTCCGGCAGGGCATTCAGTTCAAAAGGTCCTCTGGCCCATTGTTTCTCAAGCTCAGCCCTGGTCTCAGCCAATACCTGTCTGTCCAAAAAGCTTCATCTCCGCAGCTACAAGTCATGGCAAGTATGGCCTGATTTCGGCGCTTTGCTCCACCTTCCAATTGATCGAGGGTCATCAAGCACGGTTTGAACTGCTGTTCCAAAATGCAACAACTCTCAATGCGGCCTGCTAAAGTGGAGCCCTCACGTAGAATGTTTAATGCAGCCTTGTCCTCATATTGTATGCTATCCAGAATCTCATCCGTAAGCAGCAGGCCGCTTCGACGAGGTGCTGTGCCTAACATGTTCGGGCCTGGACGGCCTGTCCAGGCTTTCTGCAGCATCAAGTTCTTTCGCCCTCTTCAACCAGTGCTTTGTCCAGTCTGACCTATATTTGGACACCTGCTCATCGTTCCAAGCCAGGTTTCTGTCGATGGCAATTTGAAGATCTTCCGGAATGCTCATGTCGGTCAAAGCCGGATGACCAGCTGTCACAGCCTTTTGGGTGAACTTTTCCGGCTCCCAAGGCAAGCCAAAAACAGCTCTAAAAGGGTAGGAACTAAGGTCAGCACCAGTTTCGGAATTGCCAGCTGTCTCAGATTCCTCCAGCCCCCCCCTTCAAAGAATCGGACGCAGCAAAAAGGCGAAGCAAACGTGCATACTTGAGGCCGAGGGTAGGTGACGAAAGCTAGCAGGGGTGCATCCGGACTGGTGGGACATCAAGCGGAGTGAGGCAAATGCTCATGAGGTAAAACGTTGTGAACATGTAAGACACACAAACAGCAATGACACAGCCAACCTTAGAATTGAAGTCCCCGATAATTAAGGAAGTGTGGCTGGACTTTGCCACACTGTTCGATGCATCCGATGTGTTCACGAACCTGTGAGCTTGTTGAATCTGTTGCACCGTATCCCAAAACCTCCACGGAGGAGTTGAACCAGTGTGGATGCCATAAGAGGTGCCCAAGAGGTGTCCCAGAGGCAAAACAAAGCTGCTTGCATGATTTGTTTGGCTTCTTCTATCGATGTCGATGTCATGAACATGTGAGCTTGTTGAATCTGCTGTTGGATCGTCATGTATATATATATATATATGTAATGAGGGACTGAAGAAAAGCAACGCAGCATCATGAGCATCACGGGAAGTCACAAACCAGGCGTATCAGATACACCTGGTTTATGTATGTTTGTTTGAGCATCTTTGTCGAGTGAAGTGTCAGCCATATGCACTGAGACGCCGAAGGAAGCTCAAAGGCGCGTGTATCTGATACGCCTGGTTTCTGACTTCCCGTGACGCTCATCATTGAAGCCTTGACCCCTCGCGAAAATTTCATGTTTCATGCCCCCCCTTCAAAACTCAAACAGTGGCCTACTTCACCTGCCACCTAAACATAGCGCTATAGCACGTACCGGAAGCGTCCCAGGGGGGAGTTGAACCCGCGGGGGGGGCCCTACACGTGAAGTTTTCACGTGATTCATGATTCTCGAGGCTGCGAGCCCTTGACCCCTTGACTTGCTAAAGCAAGAGCAACTCCAGCTAGCTGATGCTAGCTTCCGTGATTTGGGGATGAGTAGAGGTTGAAGCTCAACGGACACGAGGCGCAGGTCAGTTTGAACCTTCCCAGGGACAGAGACTGGGACTTGCGACTTATCCTGAAGGACTGCTAAAACCACAGCGTCAAAATCAGGGACCAACGGCGGTATTTTCTTTCTAAACGGCTGCAGACCAACACTGATTTGAGCCTGCTGCGCATGCAACAACGGATGCTTGCGGATGTCATTCAACGTCTGGGGCAACAATTGCAAAGCAACAAGGACTCTACAACAGCATTGCAGTCGACAAGACACAAAAGCATGGTTGTTTTTCAAGCATCATTAAGATTTGACGCGAGAAGCTGACAGTTCACTTGTTGATGCTTGGCTTGATTCGGGGCTACCCGTTTGGGCGCATCTAGCACCTGTGTGCGGTACTGCAAGCCGTGCGCCCCCTGCGCAGTAATGAACATCCGAATGGTTTCCCAGACTTGACTGTCGAACTTTATTGCGCTGATTTTCAGGTGTGCATGTATGGTGGTTCAAGAAACAAATGGACAAGATTCATTGCAAACTTCCCTGAAGTGACCGAGTTGTCGATCGAGTGTTACAGAAAGCACTCTCATGCCTCACGATCATGAGGGCAGACGAGTGTGGAGAGCCAGTACACTCGACCTTTGTGTCTGGCTACGGTTCAAGTAATTTTGCAGAAAGCAGACTGTCCAATTGATTCTTGGTTCTTTCCTGCCTCCCTGGTGCCTCGCAAGCTGTCCTGCCTTCCTGGTGCCTCTCTGGCTGTCCAAATAATCCTTTCCAGTCTGTGCTGGGCAGCCGGCCGTGGAGCCCACCCCAGGATGTGCCGCGAACCGGGCCGTTCGCCATTGAAATTGTATTAAAAGTTAGACAAAATCCGGCGCCCTTCCAAAACCGAAATTCGATCGGCAATCCTGCGCTACAAGTCTCCCTAGTGCCTCCCTGGTGCCTCCCAGGCTGTCCAGCAGACTGTCCAATTGATCCTTTCCTGCCTTTCTGGCGCCTCGCAAGCTGTCCAAATGGTTCTTTCCTGCCTCTCTGGTGCCTCCCTGGTGCCTCGTGCCTTCCCTGGTGCCTCTCAGGCTGTCCAAATGGCCCTTTCCTGCCTCCCTGGTGCCTCTCTGTCAAAGGGAATTCAGTCTGTGCTAAGCAGCCGGCCGTGGCGCCCACCCCAGGATTTGCCGCGAACCAGGCCGTTCGCCATTGAAATTGTGTTAAAAGTCAGACAAAATCCGGCGCCCTTCCAAAACTTTTTTTTTGCGCGAGTGGAGGCGCTGTGTGTGCAGGTTGCGCACAAGTCACCTTAGTCGAGTGTCAGGAGAGAGCCAGGTTGCAACCGAACAGGGGAAGAAACAACACGAAACAAGCCCCCAAAACACCCAACACAAACAAACCCAACACAAACAAAGAAAGGGGAGCAACCTGTGGTGCAACTCGAGGTGCCAGGTAGGCATGAAAGAGTGAGACAGGGGCAGTGAATTCAGCAAAAGCCCTCAGTAGTTCTTGTCCATCAACGAACTGTCAAGAGGATGAGCCAGACAGGCACATCCATGCATGGGCTGCTGCGCTCGAAAGTAGATATTCATGCGCAGCAGCTGGTTTAGTTGCCAAGGTTCTTCACAGTCAGGCTTAGCATAAGAGCATGAAGGAGACAAATGACCGGTCTCACAGTGCACTTACACGCATGGCCCACGGGATTCTATCTTGGACTTATCTGCAGTCAGGTAATCAGCGTGACAGCCGGCAGCATCATGCCTCAATGCACGCAAAGAAGTGACACACTGGGAAGACCACGGTCCCCAATCTCGGGATGTCCAACATACCGAAAGCAAAGACAGTGTAATGCCACAGGCGAGCTCTCAAATAAAAAAGAGGCAAGGGGGGTAGCACCTCCCACTCCTCCCCACAAGGGGGAGGCACAGAGGCAGCAAATCCAGAATTCTACTACCGCTACGGCTCTTCACCGAGAACAGAGCAAGATGTGCTGCAAGATGTGCTGCCGAAGGCAGACGAAGTGAGAGGAAGGCCTCCTCCCCTAAAGTGTGCTGCAAAATTGTCGCATTGGAAACCTGACAAGATCTTTCAAACGCGGCCAGGTATGATGCGGCCGATCCGTGCAGGGCCCCATGAACTACACGAAAATAGGTGAAACAGAGTGAGACGCCGTTTTCCTAATTCTGTACACTGTACCCATCCAGAACCACTACACGGGTAGCAGCCTGGGCACTGTCTAGCTACTCAGGCCAACGAAAGCGAAAAGCAAAGCGAAATTGATTGGCACTCTTAGGACCAACACACGGGTGCTAGTCAAAGAGGCTAGCCAGCGAGTGTTGAGGTATCTTTGTAGCCGTGTGTGGCAATTGGTCCTACTATCCTCCAGGTCCAAGTTGTCAACTTTTTCTTGAAAGTAGTCCTGGGTGTCTACGCAGTGGGCAAGTACTCGTTTGGATACTCAGCAAGGATAGTCTCTAGTCTCTAGCAGAGGTAGGGCCAGCACACGGGTGCCAGCAGGGAGGCATATCAAAGCGTTGCTATATATGGTTCTGCGCACCTTTAGTTGAGGACTCTGAAGGAGTCATCGGCCCATTGATCCTCGTCTTTTGGATTGCGCGGTATCCATCGAACCCACTTTGGCATATCTAGGTTATCGCACCTTAAAAACGCATTGGCTCGCGAGTAGGTGCCTCGCCAAGTCATTCGTTTGCCTGTTCGTTGGAATCGATTGAGCTGCGTGCATCCTGCGAAGGCCCGCCTCTCAATATAGAGTAGGGTTGGTGGCACGCTGACTTCAGTCACAGCAGCGCATTTGAGGAAGGCTTCCTGCTGGATCCTTCGCAGCTTGTTCGGAAGCTTCAGGTGTTGCAAGTGGTGACAGTGGGCAAATGCACAGTTCATAATTTCTGTGATCTCTGTTTGCGAGAGATCCACTTGTAGCAGTTGGAGGCAGCGTTCACATGCAGCCGGTCCTATCCATGTAAAATCTGAAGGCAAGATTAGTGAGGTTAGGCCAGCTTCCAGGAAGCAGCACTCCGGCAAGGCCCGCGTCACACTGTTAGCATTGTACTCCCTAAGCTCGAAGTCAAGTTGTCGCAGTGCTGTACATCTATGAAAGGCGCGGGGCCTCAGCTCGGCTCGTGGAGCTAGTTGATTTGTAGTGTCGTTTCTGAGTCCGACTTGCAACAGGGAGCAGCATTCAGCAAAGACCTGTGTTCTAAATTCTTTACAACCTGAAGCAAGGACACTGCGCAATGCGTAGCAGCGGTAGAAAGCTCGCGTTTGCAGACGGATGACTGTGCTGGCTAGGTGCACTATTTGGAGGTGTTGACAATGGTGCCATGCACACTCCCCTATGATACGATAGCCGGCATCCACCTGTATATGTCGGACCTTGGCTACATACGAAAAGGCCTGCGGGGAGACTCTATCAATGTAGTAGAACGGGACTCGCAGGGCTTTGGCCTCGCCTTGTATTTGGCCCTTATGTTCAGCTACGACTAGACAAGGGCTCACAACGACAGTAAAGCAATTGCAGTCTCGCAGGGTGTGCCAGATCGGATCGACCAACT